CATCAGTGCAGGTATCTTGCACAATGGGCCTATCAGACATGGTTGACTGATATCATGTCACTAACATCACTATCGCTCAATAACGCCCCCCCCCCTCTCTTCCTGATTCCTCTACGACCCCCCAGGTGTGGCGTGCCACACCCCACGCTTGACTTTGCTAATCACTTTCCCAGGGCGAGCGTGGGAAAGGTGGAGCTTCAATCGATTGGAAGTGATGGGAAAGCATGTTCGCGAAAGAGACGCAGAGTCCAGTGCGGAAGTGGAAATGCTGGTGCATTCGACACTATGTTTGATAAGCCTGTATAAGCTGCTGCCTGAAAAAGCCATCTCTTTGGGTGCGAACACGGCTTTATAAACCGCAGAGCGCATGAGGCGCAGGATTTTCAACGATGAAGATACGTGCGCGCCGCGTTTGCACTTGCTCAACTAACACAGCTTCTGCGCCTTTGTTATGCGGTAGCTTTACACACTCCACATTAGATCCATGTAAACCGTTGCTGTTTTTCTTCCTAGGCTACAAACCGAGAAGAAAAAAATTTACATGCTTTAACCAAAGCGATGCTGTGCTGTTCTGTCTACTGTAAGCCTTCAAAAACAACGATTTCTTTGTTAGCTCTTTACAAGTTTTGATTACCGAGGAATGTCGACTTTAGCTTTCCTCACTCAAGTGATGCTAAAACCAGGTTCCTCGGAAAGCGATCTTGTAGATAGGTAAACATTTATAACAATGCTTCTGAAGGTTTGTTTGTACATTCTAAGTAGGAACGGTACAACCTCGTTTTGGTAAAAACATAAAAATTCTCAATTTCGATTTTCAACCCAGAAAGAAATACAGATAAATAAAAATAAATACGAATGCCTGTTGTGAAGTGTGTATGCGCGAGCGAGTGAGAGATTTGGTAGGATTTATATAATATATATCTTCATTTTTTGTGCATCCAAAATTTCTGAGAGTTTGCTTCAAACTCGAGGTGGATTAAATTTGGCGCGAAAGCAATGAACGCATCTTATATAGCATGCTTTGCTCAACAGTGCTGGACATAATTATAAAGACACTCCAAACTGTCGTAATTTGCGTTGTTGTTGATGAATCTGTCTGAAATTTTGCTGTGTAGTGCGCATGTTACCATACCATGACCTCTTGAAACGGCTTCCAATTTTGTTGAGTTGGAAAAATAGAAAAATTCGAAAAACCCCTTACCTAAAGCTGGCAAAATTATAAAGACACCTGTTTTTTTTGAACAGTATCACCCTTGACTCTAATATTTGTTTGTACACTTACATACTAAAACATGAAACATTTGCAACATCTGCACCTGTCATCCATTTTGAAGAGAAATGTTCACTGCATTTTTTGCTTTCTAAAACACTAGAAGTCAAACTGCTTCAACAAACAGCTAGTATGAGGAGTTTTCAAGCTCTTGTTCATCTCACAAATGTCAGATGATAGTCATGGAATCCATTGAGTCTTTTCGATAAATGAGTTGAAGAGCGCTTTCGTAAACTTTGCATAATCTTATATATAAAGCTGAATGTCTGTTTGTATGTATGTCTGTCTGTATGTCTGTCTGTGTGTACGTATGTTCCGAATAGACAATTCCATTTCTGAACCGATCGGGACCAAACTTGGCACACATACACTTCGGGCCCCGGCGGGTGTCATAGGCTACTTTTCGTATCGATCGATATCGATTTTATCGATTTTTTGCAAAATTTGAGCTATGGGGCTGGGAGTTGGCACAGGGGGGTAAGTGAGCATGGGGATTCCGAATACAATATTAGTTTTTGAAATCGTGCATTACTTTTATCGATTTTATCGATTTTTTTGCAAAGTTTGAGCTACGGGGCTGGGGTTTGGAACAGGGGGGTAATCGAGCATGCTGATCACCCCCGTGGGGGTGATCAGCATGCTCGATGATCGATAACGGAAAGTGGACTGTGACACCCGCCGGGGCCCGAAGTGTATGTGTGCCAAGTTTGGTTCGGATCGGTTAAGAAATGGAATTTCCTATTCAGAACATACGGCGGAGCCGGGTATGCCAGCTAGTTGCTAATATCAACGGACAGACTCCAGCCTTAACATAGATTTGTCACGCTTTGAAACCACAAAACTCAATTTTCAAGCGACAGAAAATACTGTAATGCAGCCATTACGTCGGCTATACGACAGTAAACTTGTGTGCATTGTTAAGAAAGAAATTCGGAGTTGGATTTATGGTTCAGCCGCAGTTGTCATCCACTGAATATTGACTGGAGCACCCTGCGTAATCATAGCTAACTAAGATCACGCGATAGAACAGGAGACCGCTCGGAACTCCAAAATCTTAGCTAGTCTCATTCTTTGGGTAGAATTTGACATGAAACAGAGAGGAAAATAGTGAGATTTATGAGTACCTCGAACCCATTGCTCGCAGAGGATTTTCGTGGAAAGTATTTCAAGTCTAGATTGCGACCGCATCATTAGGGAAAATCTGAAACTTGCTGCGAAAGCTGCATCACCTTGTGAACAATGTAATAAATCAAATTCAGCACTTTATTAACATTGCACTGAGTTTCGTTTCAAATGCGTGACGTGTCTATGTTGAGGTTGGAGTCTGTCCGTGCATATCAGCGATTACGCAGAGTTTACGAAAGCGCTCTTCGCCTTATTCATACAGAAGGGTCAGTGGATTCCATGACTATTATTTGAGATGAACAAGAGCTTCAAAACTTCTCGAACCAGCTGTTTGTTGGAACAGTTTAGATTTCAAAGCTTGTGAAAGCAAAAAATACAGTGAACATTTCTCATTGAAAAGGACGACAGGTCGCAGATGTTGCAAACGTTTTGTGTTTTAGTATGTAACCGTACAAACACTCAGATAATCGCCGGGGGTAGGCGGTCCGCAAACTCGCGCTTTTCTGCAGGCGGTCAGCAGAATTTTGGGGCGTGGCCAAACCTTCAGCGGGCGGTACTTCCGCGTTCTGCCAGCGGGCAGCAATACAAAATTTTCTGCGAGCGCTCGTCAAATAATATCTTCCAGCGAGCGCTGGCCAAACTTTCAGCAAGCGCTCAAACTCTTTTTAAGTATTTTCGGGCGTACGTCGAGCGCAGGTAAGACTCTGTGTGGCAGAGGTGTCACCGTTGGTTTAATTACTCAAGTTTAAGGTACTTTCTCTCAGCGGAAAGTACCTGGGGGTTGCGCGGTCCTCCACAAAGGAACGTGCGGCCCTCGAAATTTTTGCATATTCTCGCGGAAAGTCCGCGAGAATGCGGCCACTGCGCCGCAGCTAATCCATAAAGAAACCGCGATTGTTCTTCAAGCATTCGTCTTTAATTTTGCCAACTTTCTTCCAAATTTCTGCAAACGGGCCGCAAAAAATCAACGAACTATTTTTCCGGTGCGCGCTTGCTCAAAATTCGCATGGCCGCCTGCCCCCGGCGGTTATCTGAGCATATCATAGAGTCAAGAATTGTGGTAGTGTTCGAAAAACCCAAATGTCTTTATAATTCTGTCCAGCTTTTGGTAGGGGGAGGGTTTCTATTTTTCTCCGTTCGAACTCAACAAAATTGGAAGCCGTTTCGAGAGGTCATGGAAGGCTAACATATGCACTACACAGCGTAGTTTCGGACAGTTTCATCAAAACAAGAACGCAAATTACGACAGTCTCTAGAGTGCCTTTATAATTATGTCCAGCACTGAGCCAAACCTCACTGCGCATATTTTTGGAATTAGTCTATGATTTATTGCGGTAAAAATCAAATATGGAAAACTTTTGAGACAAACTAATGCAGCCGTCACCTGCTATTCACAGGTCAAATTTTTGTGTTGATTGTTGAAGCTAACGCGCAAAATTGTAGCAATTCTGCAGTAATAGCTCAGCGCGCGCATCTGTCATGGTTTCCTATCAAATCTCAGACAGAACCAAAACGTAACATAATAATGAACGCCGCAGCGGCTGCTAGGCTGCGGCAGTCAGTGCGGTCAGTGCAGTCGGTGTGGGCAGTGCGGCAGTATCAACAATCCTTATAAGTGAGGATCACGAACTCGTAGCAGCCGATCGAGCTGTAAATCATTAGTGAGAGCTTGGAGCGCTGAAGTGGAATCTGTTCTCCCCATCTGCAGAGCCATCTGGGAAAGAGATTATAAGCATTTTTCGGAATCAAAAATGAATTAACGGCTGAGGCAAAATCATGAATCAATGAATTAACGGCCGGGGCATCTAAGCATTTTTAAACCTCAAATAAAGCAGCTCAGGATACTTTATAAACTCTCTCTGATTAGTAATATCTGCTCCAAGACGAAGGCGGTCGCCCAAATAGGTTGAAAGCATGCGAGGCTGCAGCGCGCGGGCAATCGTCAACCAGAGGGCGCGCGCACGCTCGGTCAGCGGTCGCTCACGGCAGCGCACGCGCGAGCCGTGATTGACAATAGCCCGCGCGCCGAGTGCGCGTTAGCCTTGTATGCTTTCAACCTGTTTGGGCGACCGCCTTGGTCATGGAGCAGATATTATATTACTCCCAATTTCACCATTTGGCGTCTAGAAAGACTGTGAACGATTGAATTTGTCCCGGCCATTGGTTCATTTTTTTGCCTCAAGAAATGTTCATAACTTCTTTATCAATGGCACTCTGCAGATAGGGAAAGCAGGCTTGAAATCAGCGTTCCAAGCTCTTACTAATGGCCGGCAATTTGTAGTGATTAACAATTAACACTTTGAATTCGTAACTTTCTCTTGTTATGCTTGAAGCTAACTTAATGTTTGTATGTACAGCAAGATTGGTAGTTGTTAGCTTCTGAATGTTTCAACATTGGATTAGCATATGAAACTTCAGAAATATAGCCCATAGTGTCACGCTTCCTCGTCAAAAATGTTTGCCTGTTCGCATTCCAAAAATTTAAACCCCCTCCCTCTCTTTCTGGTACGACTGCAATACTTCTTATTCGAAGTTCAATGTAAATTTGAACAACAATTATCGATTTCGGGAATTGTGTAACAAGGAAGTAGGAAAAGAGCTCGATACCACTTCTTTATTCGGCCTTGCCAGGTGTCAGAAATATATTAGTTTTACAATCTTGGCTTCCATGCCTCTGCAGAAACCTTTACTGACATCGTTCTAGCAGGCCTGGTCAATGATTAGAGATTGTACACATTGTACACCACTAAATGTTTTAGCACTTCTCCGTGTTTGATTTTTTGTGAAGTTTCTTCTTACCTTTAGTGGCTCCTTCGACGCACATTCCACCAGCACAGAGGGAATTGGGATGAGTACACTCTAGGTCATTTGTACAAGGCGGCCCTGTTATCCACAACGGTTCATTTTCACGAGGGCTAAAAGTGGTCACAATGATGATGACGCTGATTGTCTGGTAACACTTTTGTATGCACGAGAGGAAAAAACACAAATGTGCCCGTATGTCTAAGGTACAGCAAAAATCTATTCCGAATGAAGAGGGGCTCACGTTTTCAAAAATAATTTAGGATGCCTCTCTATGCTAATTAGGATAGGACAGCCGCATTGCAGCCGCGCCCTATGAGTAATTTTTCACAACGCAAAAATGCTTTGGATTATGTTAAAGTGAAAATAGGTAGACAGTAGCTATAAGTAGTACTGTAATGTTGTTGTTAGCAAGATATATAAATAATTCACCGAAAGCGAATTAGCCGTGTTTGCGACAGCCGCGACGCGGGGACGTGATAAGTACATTGCAGTCGTATAAGTCGTGTCCCCAAACGTTTCAACCCTCCCCCCCCCCCCCGCCCCGTTGATGAGATAAGCATTAAAATCTATCATCTCCCTTGTTATTGAACTATATACAGGGTGTCCCAAAGAAAATGTTAACACTGTTTGATCGATATCAAGCTTGCATTCACGTCTTTCGCCAAGCTTGAGGTGCCATTCTGTAGAGCGAGGTTCAACTTAGATGTACGGTATGGAGGGAATCTCCAATCTCCGATTAATGCTTCTTTCATAAGCAATTTCAGGTTTAGGGTAAAATCTGTTTTTTTTTTTCAATGTTTGTCGGGAGTGTGATTACACCATTGAAAGGCTCGAAAAACTGTTATAAAGTTATGTGATGAAATCAGCACGTCTGAAAACCTTGCTACACGAATTTTTGGATTTTTTGGAATTTTTTTTCATTAAAAGGCCTATAGTGGCGCTATATGCTGAGATTTTACACCGTAAAATTACAGTAACCAAGAAAGATCGGAAATTCATTCCAAGCCGTAAATCTAAGTTGATCGTAGCTCTACAGAATGGCACCTCAAGCTCGGCGAAAGACGTGAACGCTAGAGAGTTATTAGCGATGAAACAATGTTAACATTTTTTGGGACACCCTTTACATTCTGTAATATTATCTCCACAGATAGACTTCGGTGACAATAATTTCTATGATATAGAATAGGTGGCACATGCTATTGCATATCGCCACATCCCTTTAAAGGCAGTGGCTCGACAAAACTGAACATGTTGAAGTTTTGATATAGTACATTTTACATCCCAAGCATGGAGATGAAGCAGGAGCGAGCGCACAACATGCTGTCCATGCCAAGAAAACCGCCTCCGAACCCGCGCGGTCAAGCCATTCTTACACCCGGTCGGACGAGCACGCGATCCCCACCCACTGTCGGAGGGCATGCCGGCATGCTATAACCATCAATCCCCACAGCAAGTCTTCGTCACCAACCATGTTCGAGTGGCCCAAATACAAAAATGAAGGACACGCTGGTTTTTGCCAATTTCGCGCTCTCTAAGGTACATTTTTGGGACCCTCAACGCCTTGGATTACCCCAGAAAAGCAAAAAAAATTTGGTCGAGGATTTGCCTAACCTCTGTCTTTAATACCCTTCTGTTTTCCCCGCCGGCAGCAAAATCGTAAACCGTGAACAACGTGTCTTGCGAGGATTCGCTAATTGAATGCCATCGAATTGACATAATTTGAAAAAAAATTAACGTAGTTTTGTTGTTTTACTTCACTGACTCAAAACACTTACTTTACTGAAGGTTTCGGTTGCCATAGGGGTTTGAATTTTTGAGATGAATGTGGAAACACTTGTCTCGCAATGCTGATATCAAATCTATGTTCGTTGTCTGCAAAGCAAAGTTTTGGAAGAAGTTATGAATGTTTTTGATAATCTGTATGGTACCCGATCAAAGACGTTACTGCTAACTAACAAGGGAAGGATACTTGATCGCAGTGACGATTGGGTAAGCGGTGTATACCGCGTATACCGTCCCCAGACGATGATCTCTAGGCTGCACTCCATATCTGCTATGACGTCATTCTGGAGGAGTTATAAAGGATGTTTGGTCAGCGGATAGTGGCTTGGACTGCGAAGCTGAACGTCATGGGTTCGATTCCTCTGGAATGCCACCCGTTTTGCATTTTTGTAACTTTTAGCAGGCAAGTTGCAAAACCTGTCGAAATCAAAAAAAGTTGATTTTCACAATATCAAGCAATGTATTTTATTGGCAGTGAACCACCGTCTCCTAAAAACACCCGTTTTTAGCCTTGAATATTGCAGCTGATTAACATACTAGCTGGCTTACCCGGCTCCGCCGTATGTTCCGAATAGAAAATTCATTTCTAACCGATCCGGACCAAACTTGGCACACATACACTTCGGGCCCCGGCGGGTGTCATAGTCCACTTTTCGTTATCGATCGATTACACCCCTCTGCCAAATTCCAGCCCCCTAGCTCAAATTTTGCAAAAAATCGATAAAATCGATATCGATCAATGACGAAAAGTAGCCTATGACACCCGCCGGGGCCCGTAGTGTATGTGTGCCAAGTTTGGTCCGGATCGGTACAGAAATGGAATTTTCTATTCGGAACGTACGTACATACATACATACAGACATACAAACAGACATTCAGCTTTATATATAAGATTGTGCATCAAAAAATCGATAAAGACGCCATTCTTGACAGGTTAGCTGCTCCTTTCTATGTTAAGCACGAATTCGGAATTTTTCAATGTGAAATTGAGTAAAGTATTCAATGAAAAAGGCCAAAAACGAGAGTCTTTTGGTTAGACGTTGATTCAATGCCAATAAATGTAAATTTGCTTCATATTGTGAAAATCAACTTTCTTCGAATGACATCATAGCAGATATGGAATGCGGTTTAGAGATCACCGTCTGGGGACGGTATACGCGGTATACACCGCCTACCCAATCGTCACTGCGATCAAGTATCCTTCCCTTGTAAGCATCAAGATGAATCCGCCGCTGTACTTATACTGATTGGCTTGAATTCAGAGGACGAACGAGAAAATAGTCTAATGAAAGAGCAAGAAAATCTTGGACTGTTCATTCCGAAGCTCTACACCAGTCAATCTAATCATTAAACGTTCATAACTTTTTTCAAGAAACCGCTTTACCAATAACAACACAGATTTGAGACATTCCGAAGCAAGTTCTTCCATTAACATTTTGAACAAAAACGCCATGGCGACCCTAGGTTCTTTCCGTAAGATAAAATTGAGGTTTTTCCTTTTCAAAAAAAGTTTGGTACGGACGAATAAAAACTCACACTGCATTATAGAGACAAGCAACGTTTATGTATCTTTCGTCACCACTGGAGCATATTTGATAAGCGCAACCTAATTTGGTTGCGCGAGAGAAGACCATCTGAATGAAGTGAATAGGCGAATTGAAGAAATCCCTTCTATTGCGGATACCTTGCCAAAGCTAGCGATAGAACGGTGATATGCGTTGTTGGAGTCGATGCCAACAGTCCTTCCTATGCCCCACCATTCCTCAAGAATTTTGTAAAAAATGTCAGTCACACTAGTGGAGGCATCAGGATATCTGAAAAGCCCATACATCGCAGTGTAGAAATTCTATCCGTGGTAGAAAATATTGCCTTAGTTTTTCAAAAGGGAGCATTGCCAGCAAACATCATTTGAGTCTATTGAGAATGATATAAATCCCTATAACGTCGTGAAGAAAATCAGAATAAAATGGGCGTCCTATATTGTCATCACTAAAGTAGAAACCAATAAACAATTTTTACATCCAATCACTAGTAGCCCTCGACTTACATCTCACGAGCGTTGCAAGGATTAAAATCATTCTCGATTTGCAAACACAACACTCATTCCGAACTTTCCCACATATTTTCCTAGTAGAATTCCTAGGATGCTTTGAGATTTACTAACAGGGTTGCATTGCCGCATTCTTGTCTAACAATGACTGCACTCTTCCTCTATCATTAGGCTTGGGCCAAACTGCGAGGCATAGGCTGCGAACGCGAAGTACGCGTACGCTCCATATGTTTAGGCACGCGAACGCAACGTACGCCGCGCAGTCTGGCCCAACTCTTAGGCGGGAGACGGTCAAGAGGCGCGATTTTGCCGGCTGGGAGCAACTGAAAACTCCAAGTCCGTGCTATGGGAGTGTCAAGAATCCGAACAGAGCCCATTGGCTTACTAGCTGTTTGAGGTAATCTGATAATAATCTGATAAGTTTGACGACTTTTGCTAGAAAACTGATTGGATTTACGAAATTGCTATCAATTGCATTTCCATGGGTTTTTGACCTTCAACAATTTTGTTTAGAATCGATTTCAAGATGACAAGATGGAACAATCCGAAACAGCTCCGCACACCCACTGCTGGAATTATTCTGGAATTGTGCTGCATGCACTACGGCAGTCCGCATGCAAGTTCGAGTGGCGGGAATTGTGCTCGCACGCCCTAATTTATGGCAGAAGGCTGAAGAAACTACGCGGCGGTTTCCTGCAATAAATGGAGCATTTTCTGAGCAAAAATAACGAAGTGAAAATGGACGAGTCCGAAGGCCCATCTTCCCGATACATAGAGCAGTACAGCGTTTAATACTCAACCCCTCTTCAAGCGCAGCTTTTCCATCACAAGGAAAAGCGGGATAGAAGAAAGAACGGAGAAGCAACGATATGGAAAAAGAAAGGGCTGAGAATGCCCAAAAACGAAACTCATTAGAAACCAGAGAAAAATCGCAGTTTATGCAATGAATTGCTCGCACCCCTAACTTGTGGCAGATGGTTGTGGAAACTACGCAGCGGTTTCCTGGAACAAATGGAATAGTCTGAGTAAAAATAAAGCGAAGAGAAAATGGATGAACGAAAAGACATTTCCTCGCATATGCAAAGCAGAAGAGAGCTCATTCTTCAACCCCGCTTCGAGTTCGAAGTTCTGCTCTGGTCAAAAAGGGAAGCGGGGTAGAAGATGAGACCAAAATGAGAAGAATTTGGAAGAAAACCGTGGAAACAGACAAAATTCTCCAACCCGCCACTCAAAGTTGCATGCGGCTGCAGCGCATGCAGCACGGTTCCGAAACAGCTCCAGCACAGTGCGGGAACATCGAAAACACTATGATCGAGCCTTGAGAAGTCACTAGCTTGCTTACCCGGCTCCGCTCGGCCCTGTCAAAACACTGTAATAAAGGGGTCAGGGTCTCATCCCTATCCCTGTACAGCCTTTCCTTGTGCCCACTTCTACACTTCATTTTCCGTTCCCTGTGTTGTTTTCGAAATCAGCATGCCCACTTACCCCCTTTGCCAACTCCCAGCCCCGTAGTTCAAACTTTGCAAAAAATCGATTAAATCGATAAAAGTATTCGATAATTCTGAAAACTTATTTGGAATCGCCATGACCACTTACCCCCCTGTGCCAGCTCCCAGCCCTGTAAAGTCAGCTCTGTAGCACTTGTAACCATCTAAATTTGAAACGAAAGGCAGTGGATTCTTGCAAATTACAAAAGTCTGCATGCATTTATTGCTTTGACTGTGCACTAAGATGCGTTCAGCGTTCGCAGAGAATATCTGAAGAGCCAGAATATCTCACTTGTGAAGCTAGAAAAATTCAGCTATGGTACTTTTTTCAATATGTCAAGAGAGATCACAGAATGTACATCTATACGTAGAGAAAGCCCCCTAGTCGAGGGGACCGTTTTAGGTGAGGTAGAGGTATAAGTTCCTGAAATCAGCGCCGAATGCTTATCTCCAAACTGCATTTCTTTCTGCCAAACGCTTTCTTGAAAAGGCTGTGGCATTAAGCACGAAAATGCAAGAGCAATTTTGATGAAAGAATTCGAACAAGCGACCTCTGTGCAAAGCACGATTACACTCGCGCTGCTTCATTCTACATGGTAGCACGTACTGGGTACTTCTATACCAAGTGATCTATCGACATGACAAGCTTTTGAATCTAAAAAAAATGTTTCACGGATAAGCATTGAAGTTTTGAGATTAGAGTCCATCACTTAGTATAATGACCTTACAGGCACCGTCCACCCAAAGTGGGGTTCACGAGGTTCGATGGCATACTAATTTGGGCCCCCACGCTAAGCCAACCCTCAAGTTTCTTCGCAAAAGATTGCATCCGGAGCGAAAAATCCGTTCCGAAGGAACGTATCTCCGGAGCTGGTCACTCCACCGAGCTGGTCACTCCGCCCGTTTTGCAGGTTTGACGGGCTCGGCGCTGATGTACGCCGGGCGTATAACAGCGCCGAAGCCTTGCGACTTGCACCTGCACTGTCCGCCAGGTCTCTCCAGAATAAGGATTTTTGGATTTTTGGTTTCATGATTTTTCGACTCCATATTGAAGATCAGGGCTTTCAGAAGGGAAGAAAACGGGGAAGTCAAGAATTTGGGTGGGCGGTGCCTTTGAAGGCAGCGGCTCGGCAGATGACAACTTTGGGATATTCATCGTTCTCGATCCTCATGGATGAGCCGAGTCTAAGACCGTACTTTGCAGCTTTAAAAGATATCAGTAACCCGCTTTTCCAGATGTGAAAAGCGCTATTTGAGGGCGGACCGCGTAAGCCTGTCCTCGAACGCGATTGGCTCGTGATACTGTAGGTACGGTATCTCCACTTACGAGCCAATCGCGCTCGAGGATAGGCTTACGCGGTCCGCCCTTTTCACGCCTGGAAAAGCGGGTTATTGATATCTTTTTGAGCTGCAAAGTACAGTCTCAGACTCAGCTCATCCAGGAGAACCGAGAACGATGAATATCCCAAATTTGACATCCTGCCGAGCCGCTGCCTTTAAGTGAGAGTATGGCTAAATTGAACTTGTTGACCTTCTGTCTGGTTTTCGTAGAAAAACCAGAGTTTTTCCCATTGTCATTTGCAAGACAAGCTTTATAGGATCATCTGAAGCAACATGTGTATTCCTAAAGTCAGGGATGAACGATAACTCACTTCATGCTTACCTGCGTACAACAGTTTCAAAATCCGCATGAAAGGATAAAGGATAATAGAATCGACATTTTCGATACGCTCTGCAGGCAAACGCGCTCTATTTCATAGTCGAAAAGGCTACTGAATGCGTACGAGTCTTTCACAGTGACTTGCGGGGGAACCGGTTACCAAGTCAGTGCTTTTATCCTCCCACATTACTCTGTTACCAGTTTACAGCCCCGGAGGGTAGAGGGCTTGGTTGGCCCAGAGGCGAGGTCGAACTTAATTTTGATCTAGTCATAGCTGCGCCTCATACCACTCGCCACTCGCCCTTCTGAAATCAGCATAGCTGCTTTAGTTCAGTATGAGCTAGTCGCTATTGAATAAATGCCACCATTTTGACTATGGTGGTATGCAAGCACAGCATCATGTACTACAACAGTCGAATGCCACATATAATACTCTTCTTTTGCACAAGGATCATGGAAATGCTTTTGTTAGTCAGCTTTAGCATTTTGCTTTGGCTTCACACTAGGAAGAAAGCATTTCGCACATAATAATAAGGGATAAAATATTCGGCGTCTGTAGTACCCTCTGCGGGCATGCACCAAGCGCACACTACTTCAAGTTGAAGAGGCGATTGTGTGCGTGCGAGCCTTTGCAATAACTTGCGAACGACAGCCGATGACCAAGTCAGTGCTTTTGTTCTCCCAAAGTGACTGTGACAATGGTCACCGAAGGGTAGAGGGCTTGATTGGCCCGAGGGCAGGATCGAACCTACGTCCGACCTGGTCATAGCGCCGCCTCATATCACTGCGCCACTCGTCTACAGTCTTCACAATGACTTCAAAATTCAGATTAGCACCTTAGTGCTATGATGCTATAGACCCTGAAGAACACTTCGCCTACGTGGTGCAAGTCCACTTGATTGTGATCATGTTTCGCGCGGGAGATATCGAAATAGGGTTAAAACGCATTAAACCTGCTACAAGTGAGCATTCTGGGCAGTCGTAAGTTAAGGTCTTCTTAAATTTTTTTTGAACTGAGTTCAATTTCTCCTCGATTTTCCGAGTTTGTAAATTTTGTTAGTTTTGTTTTTCCCATTTCTCTTTTATATGCTAACTAGCGGTACCATTCAATAGATCAAAGCATGCTCTGCAAGATGCATTCAAATCTTACTATCATCTGTGATAGAGGCGCAGTTTGAAGCCAATGTAAAAGGATCCTAATGCCCAAAAACAAAAAACGGATCTTCATTTGAAAAAAAAATCCCGTAAAAATACTGTTTTGCCCACGATATATATACAGGGTGTCCCAAAAGTAAGTACACACTTTTCAATCGTCAGTGTCTCTCTTCCCAATGGGTCTTTTTTCGCCATTTAAGAACCATTCTGTAGAGGAGGCTTCAACTTAGATTGATAGTGTTGAGTGATTCACCGGCCGCTCTTCATCACTGTATGATTACGGTAAAAACTTCCAGCAAGTAGAACCATTGTGAAATATGTCACCTAACAATGTCATCTATCATAAAAATTTTTTCAAAAAACCTGAAAAATAGTGTACTAGGGTTTTCACGCACGCTGATTCCACTGCACAACTTTTTATGAGTGTTTTCAGCTTTTTTGATAGCGTAATCACATTTCTGACAGATATTTAGAATTGGATATACGGCTTACCTGGAATAACTTTAGAAAGAAGCATCATAGTAAAGTGGAAATTTCATAAATCAGCAACTTCCATTACCTTAGTATAAGAGTTTTTAGCTTGTTTGGTTTTGTTCCAAGGCAGAATATGCCTTCTAATGGCCTGAAATCCTTGTCGAAGTTTCTATAGTTATTCTGCAGTAATGAGGATCGGTCGGTGATTCACTCTTATCGTAAATCTAAGTTGAAGCCTCCTCTATAGAATGGTACTTAAGTGGCGAAAAAAGGCACGATGGGAAGAGAGATATTAACGATTGAAAAGTGTGTACTTACTTTTGGGACATCCTGTATATATTAGGTTGTCCTAAAAGTTCTTGCGCCGGATTTTCAAAAAATCATAACTTCCTTTCTTCTCAACAATTTTTCTAAAAATTTTTGTATGAAAGAGGAAACCTTTTTCTTTATAGCGGTCACCTTTGCCATGAATTAGCGGTGGTAAATTCGAGAGTTAAAAGCAATTGAAGGAAATTAGTCAAGATCGACATTTTTCAAGCTGGATCACGAAAATCTCTGGCAGTCAGTGGCGTACCGAGGGGGGGGGGGGGGGCGGGGGGGGGGGCGCGCGCCCCCCCCGAGAATGGGTCGCGAAATTTTTGAAAGTTACTTATATGGGTTATAAAAATGTGCAAGTAGCTTGTTTATAATTGTAAATAATTAAAATAATTTTTAAAAATTTTTAAAAATTCAATTTAGCCTTGTAAAAAAATTTTTTCGGGGGCGTGGCTTATGCCACGCCCCCTTTTTCCAGATTTTAGGGGTTGGGGACCCGCAAAAATCCTGAGAAGCACCCCTAAAAATTTTTCGGAGTGCGTGGCTAACGCCGCGCACCTTCATTCGAAAAAAATTTTTGTCGCCCCCCCCCCCCCGAGCGGAAATCCTGGGTACGCCACTGCTGGCAGTATCTTTATTTGATAGAGAAAATCTTGCACATTACAGTGGTACCTTTTTCATGAATTAAAACGAAGTAAATCAAGAGTTAGAAGCAAATAAAGAGAACTTCTTCACTTTTGCAATTTTTGAGCATGCTCAAAAAAGCTTGAAAACGTCACAGAAAAGGCGAAAAAGTCATAAACATGGGTTTTGTGACCTTTCCTTTCTAGCCGAGCGAAAATCGTACCAATCGGAATTTTGATTTTCGTGATTTATTCGGATTTTCGGGTCTGCGTTTTTCATGAGTTTCTTTTTACTTTCTTCGTGTTTCTTTGCTATCTTTCGTATCGCGGCGATGTTCTTTATCAGATTTTCAATTTCGTATCGCTAACTTCTTGAAACAAACACTTTTGGGGGAATTTCAGCCCTATCGCAAAAAAAAGTTCAAGGTGTACACATTCTAAGGAAGAACTTGACATAGTTCATCAAATCACAATTGTGCATATGTCACCTACCGGAAAAGAGATTTTTGTCCAAAATCTCCAATGCATCCTTCTTCCCGGTTCACATGAAAAAAAATGTAAAACAAACGAGCACAACTGCACAAAACACTAGTTAGCGGTGCGAAATCTAAAAATCTGATAAAGAACATTGCCGCGATAGGAAAGATAGCAAAGAAACACGAAGAAAGTAGGGGAAAAGCTCATGTGCAAGCGGTTGGCTGCGAGAGCGTTCCGCCGCGCTCTGCCGCGGCCGGCCTGCTCCAGTTCGAACTTAAATTCAACCACCGACCGACTAGTGGGGTGAGGACGACTATATCACTCATTGATTATTATTCATACACACCATTGGCGTACTTTTCTCTTCTAGAAATCGACAAAACATTTCCCAAGTTTCTATAAAAGCAATGAGCTTTTTCAGGCAGCAAATGTGTACTACAGGGCTCCAAAACTACAACGATAATTTCGGGACTGTTTCTGAAAGATATCAAATTCTACGAGATTTGGTATTAAGAGCTATGACCAGTTAGGTTCGCTATTTGTCGAAAATTGAGCCTTGCAGAAAGCTGAAAATGTGCATTTGTACCTCACAAAGCTTGTAGTATACAAATACTAGCGTGAGAACAGCCCAGCATTGCTTTTAAACAGATAATCGTTTTCGTTTACTCCATTTCTAAAAAAAAATGGTAACAGCAAATGTAAATGTTTGATTAGGAATGTATATGTGGAAGCAAGAGAAGTGCTGTAAGATTTTCCTCAAAGGAGTTCGATTTTTCTTCCATCTTTTCTGGGCACTGGAATTCTTCAGTGTTACCATGTTTCACTTCAGATTGTGCCTCATCGAAGATAATGGTAAGTATGGACCATTACTTTGTAGAGCATACTTCGGCTTAATGATGAATGGTGCTTCGATCCTATTTTATAAGGTAAAAGTTGCTGTAATCTTGATACACGTTTCAAATAAATACTTACGGTGATCTCTTCATGTTCGCTGCAGTGTTTGCAAAATTTGGAGGAAAGCCCGGGCAAGCGACTGCAGCTTGCGCCTTGTACTCCAAATCACAGTTCCAACTCTACACAAATGCATAAACAACAACATCATTATCCTGATGGATCGAAATATATACAGTATCTACCTACAGTAACTACATCCACGTCTACACATTTAATATCAATGCTCACTTGTCAAGGTGACCGTACTATCGAACGATCAAAGGCTTAGAGCTTCACTTTAGTGCTGCATAAGTTTTTAAAGTACGAGGGTGGCAATGTAGTTTGTACTTAAAGTGCTGAATTTGAAGAGTTTGACCTTATGGTAGTAAGCGATTCTGATGCTAATTTTTTTTGAATGCATAATCACCTCAATTAAAACACCAGGTACACAACTTCAGCTAATTTTCCTGCATTTAGCTTAAAAAGCTTAAAAAGCTGCATTAATTAGAAAACTGACAAGAACATTAAAGGCACCGTCCACCTAAAATGGAGGTTGGCGAGATTATGATGGCATACTAGTGTGGGTTCCCATTCTAGACAAACCTCCAAGCTTCGCCGCAAAAGACTGCTTCTGGAGCGAGAAATCCGCTCCGGAAGTAGCAAAGTAGGCGGGGCGACCCCGGTCGCCCCGCCTACTTGCATGCTTTATCTCGCCTGCCCTTGTTGAGGGTTCTCGAAACAGGGATTTTTGGGGGTTTCGCGGATTTTTGACTCCATATTCGGAATCGGGGCTTTCAGAAGGCTTGAAGGCGACAAAAACATTGAATTCGAGATTTTGGGTGGACGGTGCCTTTCAGGCCCGTATGCACGTCAGGGCCCGGCGGGTGTGGCGTTCTCACAAACTGGATATCGTTTTTGGCCCGAAAAAGCAAAGGGGAAGTCGTATTTTGGGGTCCGCCCAAAATACAACTTCTCCTTTGTTTACCGATAAACAGTGCACATATCATTCTTTATTCATCATTCCTTGTTGATGCTACTGTCCTATGAACTTAGATTCCAGCAATATGAAGATTCTGTGCTCCGATAGCTAGCCTGCCCGCAGGCGGGAATTCAAATCGCAATTCTTTTAAGAGGAAAATAACAAAATAGGCTCGTTTTCAATGCACAAGTAACGATATGGCACCAAATTTGCTGTGTAGTTGGAGGACCATGAGCACAAAAAAAGTATGAAGAATTATGAGAAACTTATGTGAATTTAAAAAGTGGTGTTTTTCGAAATTAGGTGGCTCCCGCGCCACCTGGGAGCCACCTGGGGTGGCTCCCTGCTTCCCTTCACATAATTTCCCGGATTTCTTTACTTAAATGTGGACTAGGTCGAGAGTATTACTATATGTTCAAATCCGCTTCCAAAACCACCGAGGCACCGCTTCGATACAGCCCCAAATAGGGTTCACAGCGTTATGATCGGCCTCGGAAAGCGCGCTCCAATCGCAATCGGTTATTGTAAATTGTAAAGTTTCGCAGCTGACTAATAAATGAGTAGTATCTTAGATATATAAACGTCAAAGTTTGTGCAAATCTTGACCCTATGTTTTTTTATCGATTCCTTTGCGGATGAACCCATTGAGCTGAAATCTTGATGACCCGGGCTGGACCAGGAAAGCCAGGTAGGACTACTATAATAAGCGCTGAGGCCGCCCATCTTATTATTTGTGTATATCTGTTTGTCAGGGACTTACGGGGGTCAAAAATAGGGTCAAAGGGGAAGTCGTAAGAAATTTTGGCTTCAAAGGGGATATCGTTTTCAAAATTCTGAAATGCCACCTCCTGCCGGGCCCTGATGCACGTACATCTCCGCGGGAGGGAGGGAATCCGAAAGAGAAGCGTCATATCTCTCTACTCTAGATATCTTTCTTGTTCTTAATCCATTTGGATCATAAAGGATCTTGTACACTGACACCTGTGCCCAATGGGTGCCAGGTTGCTGCGATAATTAGATTTTCATTATTTTGTGCAATGCAATCCTTAGTGACAAAAATGCACTGACAGGAGGGGATACCTAGTCAAAATGCACTGACAGGAGGGGATACCTAGTCAAAAGCACCAATCCAGATAAGACGTATATCATCTTAACCCTTTGGGACCTGGTGGTGGCAATTGCCACCATCAACTTCAAAGGGCATTGTTACTGGCGCAACAGCAGATTTCTACTACTTATTACTACAGGTAGCTTCAGACAACCTTTGCCTTCCTATTAGTGATTTGCAAGCCCCATTTCATCCATGGTGGTACTAGCAATGAAGGAATCTTTGTGCGCAACTGAGTGACAAAAAATCGATAACGGTTGTCTGCCGCAGCATCTGCTGAAAAAATATCAATTATTTCCTCTAATAGTTGAAATGAATTTACACTATTAACTGAAGTGTGGAATATGATGTCACGCGAGCACTTCTGCTATGAGTACGCGATTTCATCTTTGTTGGAAAAAATCAGAAAATTGAATGAAGGTTGGTAGAAAAAATTAAAAATAAAAACATCTTGTTGTCGAAAAAGTTCCAAACTTCGCTGTATTGTTATTCAAACGCTACCCTATCATAAGCAGTAAATGAGCAGTTCTCTCTCTTACTGGGAAAAAGTCAGGTCCTAAAGGGTTAAAGGGCTTGAAACGTTGATTATAAATCTATAGTTTCTAGCTGCGGAACAGTTTTTTTAGATGGAGATATAAGGGGTGTTTCCCTCTGGGGTAGGCGCCCTCCGGCAGGTTTCCCCTTATCTACGAGCACTGGAGGAAACCAAATGGTGGCAACTGGTCTAGTGGTAAGTGACTTGCTTGATAAGGAGAGTGGCAAGGGTTGACTTCCTTCGCATGCAAGTTTATCGCAATTTTTGCATTGAGCCTCTAAATGGTTTTGGAGCCCTAAAGCTTGAAACTTCTGATACTGAATGCTAATCGAAGAATGTTGGAAAAATTAAAGTGTTATGATTATTATAATCCTTATTGTAACCTTCATTCAAATTACTTACCCATGCCAGTCGACACCATTTTGTGTTCCTGTAGTGCTCGTAGACAAGAGCCGATATTTGAAGGGAGCCTCATCACTAGCGAGAAACACCCTTCCTCAACTCCTTCTATAAAACCGTTCCGCAGCTAGGAACTACAGATTTGGAATCAGCGTTTCAAGCGCTTTAAGAAGATATATGTCTAATCTGGATTGGTGCTTTTGACTAAGTATTCTCTCCCTGTAAGTACATACTACGGCACTGCCTGCTACGCATGTTTTCGACAGGAGAAATGGAATCTGGAGACTGTGATTTTTCGATAATATTAGGTTGGTGCAAAAGTAATGGCCGATTTTTCAAGCCTTTTTTCAGCGCAACTTTTTCCCATCAAAAATTTAAAATATAAGTAGCATACCGCTGTAAAGCTATTTTCTTCCTCTATGAAATGGTGTTTGAAACGGGCTTCCTACCTCATCTGTTATAAAGTTACTGAGCTTCAAATAACCATCATCATCAGAAATCAGAATTTTATTGCATACATTTTCCTGGCCAGAATTCGAGCTCATATGCATGGCGCTTCTTAGACAATTTACTATTGTATCTTGCAGAAATTGTCTACATTATACGTACTCGACTGTATTTTTCAAAGTTATCCAGAATGAGATATTGGTGCCTCAACATGGGTAGTCGTTGCGGTCATTTATCTTATATATAAAGCTGAATGTCTGTTTGTCTGTCTGTCTGTCTGTCTGTCTGTCTGTCTGTCTGTATGTCTGTGTGTACGTATGTTCCGAATAGAAAATTCCATTTCTGAACCGATCGGGACCAAACTTAGCACACATACACTTCGGGCCCCGGCGGGTGTCACAGTCCACTTTTCGTTATCGATCGATGTCGATTTTATCGATTTTTTGCAAAATTTGAGCTAGGGGGCTGGAATTTAGCAATCACCCCCGTGGGGGTGATCAGCATGCTCGATTACACCCCTTTGCCAAATTCCAGCCCCCTAGCTCAAATTTTGCAAAAAATTGATAAAATCGACATCGATCGATAACGAAAAGTGGACTGTGACACCCGCCGGGGCCCGAAGTGTATGTGTGCCAAGTTTGGTCCGGATCGGTTAAGAAATGAAATTTTCTATTCGGAACATACGGCGGAGCCGGGTAAGCCAGCTAGTAACCCATAAACTTCTTTTGAAGGAGTCAGTCGCCAAAGCTTTGCGCAATTCTGTAAGCGTAAGGGTGGGGCATCCTGTTGAAGTTTTTCCAAAAACATTCGGCTGATCAGTAAGCAAAAAATTAGAAAAATCTATGTATAGGAATTTGAGGCGTACTGGAAAATATTGAAAAAACTGACAATTTTAAATTTTAATTTTATTCCTCCTCGCAAATTTTTTTCTCCACACTCTTTTCATCGCATTTTGTACTGTTGGCGTGCAGCTACAAGAGAGGACACTTACCAATCATACTAACAAACTTTTAAGGGAGTTATGAACTGCCAAAAACAAGGTTTTAGAGAAAAACCTTTTTGCTTGTTGATCCTTATTCTGCTGCCCGTTTGTGACATGAATACAAGTAAATGTGAGGTGCATTGCGAAAGGTTTGCTTCTTAAGGTTTTTACCGCATTCAGAAACATGGATTTTTCAAAAAGTTATAGCACGTAAAGTGAGAAATCGCAAATTGGCCATTACTTTTGCACCAACCTAATACCTAGCTCTCGAGCAGTGGTCTATCGAAGATTTCAATATCTTAAGGTTTTACTCATTTATACTATAAACATGTTCAGCAGTGCCATATCATATCCTCAGCACAATTTTACATGTTTTCATTGAGTTTTTGGGAAGATAAATGACTCTGAAAGTGGGAGCTGATCCCCTGAGGATTTCCATCCTCACATGTAATGAAATCTGATCTTATATGACAGTACCTTGGCAACCATTATGCGAGGCGTCAGGGTCTGGAAGCCTTCATAACCTTCATAAAAAACAAGAAACATATTCAGAGTAGCGAAATATGAGGCGTTCCCTCTCAGATCCCCTCCCTTCCCTGCGGGGATGGGAGACGACGTGCATACGGACCTAAATGAGTTGACGCCGCAAAATGAGAGACAAAAATGTGCTTCTCTAAATTATCCTAGAAAACATCTAACGGTGCAGGTTTTGATCGATTTGTGCTTGCAGCTTAAGCGAAAAAAGCCTAATTCGACTATGCGTCCAATCCTTGATGCTAATCATGCTGATTGAATGGATATGAACCTACTAGAAGATACATTCCTCTCGCTAAACTGAGCATTCCAACGGAATTCGGCTCGCGACCCAGTGCAACATCGAGACGCTTACGGTTGTGAAAAGTGAGAAAGACCTGACGATAATTGTTGTTCATTAGCGGATTTGCGCAGAGTGGAGCTGAAAGGAATGCTTTGTTGCTAGACAAAATCTAAACGAAAAATAACTAACTTTTTGGTTGAAACTTTCCTTCTAAGGTTGATGCTGCACCAAGAATCTGAATATGTAGAATTTTATCCTCTACATTATAGTTAGATCAAACCTTCTGTCGCTTCTCGCGATTCAAGGCGCTCCTCGAAGTACGGAGGCCGGGGGCATCGGTTACGCGCTATCCGGCGACGATTCCGGCAGCCGAGACGCGTGTTGCCGCGATCGTCTCCGAACCTCTCCTTAATTGGCTCGTTGCCAGCCAGGCGGCTATATAAAGCGGCGGCGCCTCACTTGGGCGCCCTGTTCGTCTTTGTTTTGATCGATTGATTTTTATTTCTTGTTCGATTATCATTTCAGCCGCTATGCTCCTGTCCTTTTTCGTAAGAGCAGTTGAGCCGGATGTTCTTTGGATTGAAAACGAATTCCTTTTTGTTAGCGCAATTCGACGCGCCTAGTACTAACCGGAAGTCATCTACAGGAGCAGGAGGGGACGTGCCGTCGTCTAAGGGCCTTGGCGTTGCGCGGTGGATTTGTTGCGCGAAACCTCGAGAGCCTCATATATTTTTGAGAATGCTTGCAGACGCGCATCGGTAGCATGGGACGGGCCCTCGTCCCGTGTTTAATCTAGTAGTAGTAGTAATTTGCTTTTGTTTTAGTGTAGTATTCTTTTCCATTTATTTTAACTGTAGTTTAGTGCCACAAGGATAAACCACTTAATTAACCTTATGTTCTGTTCGGTCGCGCGTTAGTGCGCAGTAGGCTAGGTACGTCGTTTAGTATCGGGCGAGCATCAGGCCTCGGGCAACATCTAGGTGCCATGAGCCCGGCGAGTAGCCACCCTTTCATCTAAAATGACATGTATGCTCGCGGTTGCAACGCAGAATCTACTTCGATCATGACTTATTTTGTTTGTGATAGAAGATATAAAACGGCTGGCACTAAGGTAATATAGATGTCCTTTCCGGAAAAACACAGGTGATACCGCTCCTCGAGATTCAGGACAAGTACGAAGAAAGTATGAGGAAATTCTGACCATAAAGTTTAAAGTTTTTCTAACATGGTTTCTTACAAAGTTTGCGGAACAGCGCGCTGGCGGTTTCGCGAACTTTGCAAGAAACCGTGCTTTCGCTCTGTACAAAACTTATGTTTTACCGATTTTAGAGTAGGCGTCTCGGGTAGGAGTCCTTTTTTGAGAAAATGCTGAAAATCTAAAAAGAGTACAGAAAACTTTTTCAAGAGTGCTTCTTACCAATGCTTTTCCTACCCTAACCCTCAGTCATTACCACTTACCTTGCAGACTATCTAACCTGAGGTTACGTAGCCTCAGATGCGGACTGTGTGCCAAGACCTGTCTTCTGTTTTCGCATTTGGCGAATAAAGACCGGGCTTGTACTCAGTAGGTACTAAGTTTTTAGGTCTGTTGTAGTCGAACGATAGGGTTCGCGTTGTGTTGTAAACTGTGAACCAGAATTTTTCTACTGCATTCATCTCTTTTATTTGTCGCACTGCTAGTTGGATAGTAGGTCTAAAAACATGACTTCGTCAAAGTTCTTTGGAATTTCGCAGAAAGTCGAGCTCTATCAACTTTTTAAAAATTCTGAACATTTCCGGTGTGTGATAATTGTGTTGCCTCTTTTAACATGGCGGCGCATCTTTTCCATCCTCTCAATTTTTGTTTGTTTTTGTAGTGTTTTTTGGAAGGGGGGGGGGGTTGCTCAACAATTTCTGGCTATTACCTGCAGATTTCCGGAATTTTTGCTTATCTTGCTCAATACTTAGCAATCAAATTTCTTTTTTCCTAATGCCTTGTTGCAACCGTTTCCGGCAGATAGTGTGCGAGGGCATCGACGACGGATGAGCCCTTTACCTAGAGATCCCCCACTTCGCTTGCCCAGGGTTACCTGACGGATTCATCCATCCCGGTTCAACTTATTCAGGCACCTGGTTTTTTTTGTGACCTTATGATGTTGCACTCGAAATCGGAACAGGAACTCGGTGAAGGCTCCTCATCGTTTGAGGAAGAAACCAGAAGACATTGCATGCTGTTTAGACGGCCTACGCACGTTACTTTTGATGTCACTTTTCGATCACCCATATGTATACCAGAGGTGCGATAGTCGGAGCCGAGTCTCCGCCTACCTTCACTTTTGAGCTGGTACGGGGTGACCACCTTCACTTTTGGGTTTGAAAAATTTTTTTTGCTGAAGTTTAAAAGAAGGAAAATAAGCAAAAGGAAGGTAAAAGAAAGTATTGAAAGCATATATCTATGTAGTAAGTCGATCCAGGGAATAACCGCCGAAACCAGAATTTCGAATGATAAAATAATGAAAAATCATGCGATAATTCCATTTTTATAAATCTGCTGGTTGAAGATGTCAGCAATTGCGACCTCATAGGTTTTGAAGGGCAAGTGTTGTTCTACCAGACAGTGAAAGGATTACGTCGATCTGAGCAGTGGCCGCCGAGAACGAGAATTTTGAAAACGATTTTAGGTTACTTAGTGACAGCTGATGTTTAGACTCCTATAAATCTGGAATGTGAAGGAGTGCAATGTTGAGACTTCATAAGTTTTGTAGAGTAAGAATTGCTGTATCGGACCATGTCTTAGCCGTAACGATCCAATAAAATACCGCCGAGATTCAGGCTCTTGAAAAAACAAGTGAAAAACCTCTTTTTGAAATTCAACAGCGCATAACTTCTTCAGAATTGCATGAATCATGTTGCGACTTCATAGGTTGGATTCTCCTCATCAAGAGCTTTCAGATGATATATAATATGTGAGGGTGTTGCGCCTCTCACGGCATGTACCCGGGGGTGGAGACTTTTCACCCCAAAGTCTCCACTTGGCGGTCTCCGGCCAATACATTAAATAGGCGAGGTGGAGACTTTGGGGTAAAAAGTCTCCACCCTGGGTTAGAGCCGCAAAAATCATTGAACCCCCAACATATTATATATCATCTGAAAGCTCTTGATGAGGAGAATCCAACCTATGAAGTTGCAACATGATTCATGCAATTCTGAGAAGTTATGCGCTGTTGAATTTCAAAAAGAGGTTTTTCACTTGTTTTTACAAGAGCTTGAATCTCGGCGGTATCTTATTGGATCGTTACGGCTAAGACATGGTCCGATACAGCAATTCTTACTCTACAAAACCTATGAAGTCTCAACATTGCACTCCTTCACATTCCAGATTTATAGGAGTCTAAACATCAGCTGTCACTAAGTAACCTAAAATCGTTTTCAAAATTCTCGTTCTCGGCGGCCACTGCTCGATCGACGATCGAGATCGACGTAATCCTTTCACTGTCTGGTAGAACAACACTTGCCCTTCAAAACCTATGAGGTCGCAATTGCTGACATCTTCAACCAGCAGATTTATGAAAATGGAATTATCGCATGATTTTTCATTATTTTATCATTCGAAATTCTGGTTCTCGGCGGTTATTCCCTGGATCGACCTACTTTGTTTGCAGTACGTTATGACAAAATTTACTTAATAAAATCCGTACAGTCCCGCTATCTTTTACTTCCAAATACATCATTTACTAGACACGTTTATTTCAAATATATATGCCGCCGTATACCTAAAAATATGCTTTCAATAATCTTTTTTGCGTTTCTTTTGCTTATGTTCCGCGCACTGGCGGCAACGACCTGGAAGGATAGGCTCAGTCGACGTTACCTCCCCCCCCCCCCCGTCGACGTTTTTGGGAGGTGAGTGTCCGGCACTACCACCTTCACTTTTGGCCGGTCAGTGCTAGCTGGAACCACCTTCACTTTTGGGGGGTCCGGCTCCACCTATCGCACCTCTGATGTATACATAAACAAATTAATTAAATAAAAAAGGTGAAGGGCCGCGCATTTTTTTTTATCAAAGACTGCTTGACAAATGTCCGAAAAGTGCCTTATACTCAGGTAACTAAACGAGCGATGACACCTTTGCCTTTCAAAGTGCTACCTTTGGCGTGTAAACAAAAATGCGCAACAAGGCTTGAAACTAGATTTCAGATTTAAGATGTTTTTGATTCTCTATGATGAACTTAAACCTATCCTCATCAGCCATGCAGCCACGGATGTTTTTAGTGCACGTGAAGCTCAGTTTTCTTCTCCGAAAGATTTGCGTAGTAGCTCCAATTGTATTGCGGTGCAAAACATGGCAATTTTTTCAGCCAACTTTGAAGAATGACATACTTACCGGTTCTGATTTTTCATTAACATGCTATTTTCAAAAAAGAAGATTCAAAACTCCATAGATTTCCGGAGTGACATAAAGTTGTCGCGATATTAGAGACCAGCTGTTGGAAAGCCTACTATGTGAGAATGCACCAATTCATTGCCCAAAATATTCCAGCTCTATGTTCAATGATTCGCTTTTTCAATAAATTGATTAAATAGAGCAAAGCGATACCTTCACCTTTTAAATTGTCGCCTTTGGCACATGCGAAACTATTTACATAACAAATATTGGAAACAAGGTTCTTGTGCGAATTTCGTTTCTTCAAAATGTTGATATCAAACGGCATCCTCGTCAACTATATTGTGATAGAGGTTCTCCATATACAAGTAATGCCTAAGCTCATTCCTCAGATTTTTAGCATACTAGCCGGGTGTTTTTTTAGTAGACAATGGGATTAAAGCAGCTGAAAAGCTCATAAATTTTTGCAAAAACGCTGAATACGTTATGTTCAAATTACGTCTTGAGCGGCTGGAATACCCAAAGAGCTTGAGCTCAATTTCAGACTTGCTTTGAGTTTTGAGAAAAAGGGTTGTTGGAAAAGGAAACTGACACTTTTGCAGCGTCCTTCATACGATGTCATTAGAACTTCACCAAAGATGATTGCTTGTCTGTGAGTAGCTTTTTGCTGATCAAATGACGAGCGCTCATTAAAAAGTTTCATGCGCCAGGAAATTTTTGAGGAGCGCTCGCAGAATATTTTATATCGCAGCCTGTTTGCATGGCATGCGATATAGAAAGGCGCATCTCCCGCTAAAGGTTTGACTACCCCCGGAATTTTGACATATGGCAAGAAAGCGCGAGTCCGTCTTTCGCCTGCTCCGGCAATTACCGGAGATATTGATCGCATGTGCGTTTGCGTGACTCGATTACGGTCAACACATAGATAATCGATTGGCCAGTTGTCATGTGCCCTCAAAAATTTTGCTAATTACATAGATTTGTACATGAGCTTTCCTCAAGACATCAAGCGGATCACATCAGCACAAAGATGTGATTATGCATGACGCTATAAGGATTGCGCACGCACATGAAAAAAAAAAATCAAATGGAAAAAGCAATTTAATGTAAATGATAATCTGAAGCTGGTGAATGTAAATGATTATTTCAATTTTTTAAAAAGGTCATAGAATGTTCAAAATTAAGCGGTTGATTGCTGTATATGAATAATTGCAGCGATGTCGTGCCGCATTGCAAGTGCGGCGGCCCGATGGACGGGACGTGAATTCCGACACAAGGCTATGGCGGAACACTCGTCCGCGCAGAGCGGAAAAAATCTTTCTGCAAAGCTTGACAGGCGCTAAGACAATGATTATCGTGTGCTTTAACTCTGACAAAGCAGGGTTACAAAGTCGAAGTAGCCGATCACTACAAGTTGCATACCATTGGTGAGAGTCTGAAATGCTGATTCCAAATTGGCTCGTACTCGCAGAGCTCCTTTGAGAAAGAAGTTATGGTTTTTGGAGCCGAAAAATGAAACTGATGGCCGTGATAAAGCAATTGTAGCCTTGCTAGACGTCAAATGGAGAGATAAGAATTCCCGATGCACTAGACAAAAGAGGTTTATTTCATAGAGCATTTTGACTTTTGTTGCTGCTTCATTCAAGCTCCAGAGAGACTGTAGCAATCAACTTTACCCCAACCATTAGTTTATTTTTCGACTCAAAAAATGCATATAACTTCTTCCTCGAAAGTTTGGAATCATCGCTCAAAGCTCTCAATGATGATATGCAGTTTTTGGTGAGTTCGTGACCCTTTGTGAGCAAAAACCTCAGTTTTTTGGGTGGAAGCTTGAGAGACCGATGATCTAAAACCCTGACCTTTTTGGTGCCATTTTCGCGAAACATATAGCTTTTCAACTACTTTTTGGGGTTGCAATTGATGGCTTGCACACATATACTTTAAACAACTCGATTATGCAAAAAATGCAAATACGAACAGATTTGGGAGCTCAAAGCAATGTAGTTCCGTACGACGCGGAATTTTCGTGGGATCCGCCTGTCCTTGCGCATTATGAACTTACGAAGGAGCATGCGCTGTGCAGAATTTGGCTTGCAACCTCGGCTGTAGCTCGATGTAGAGTTTCCTGATAAACAGAGATTCAGACCGTCATTAAAAGTTCTAAATGGCCCTCCAAGAACTGACGGATGACTTCGTATCGGAGGGCGCTCTTGAGCATTAGAGCTGATTGTGAAGATGCACGAAGAAAGGTAAGGCTGACCAACAGACGCACATAATCTCGAAGTTTCATAAATCACGGTCTGCTTTACCTTGCGTCGTTTCCGAGATACGTACAGCACTTAAGATTATAAGAGTAATAAAGCAGGCACTGCGATTACCTACAAAATTGGATGATTGTACGAAAACGCATTGTTCAGATTTCTCGAAGAAGCTTGATTGAAGTGGTTCAGAGCTGTCCACCAAAGATAGGACCGTCTCCGACCACAAAACAGAATCTTGGCATGTAGCTTTACAAGGTGCAAAAAAAAACCACAATCTTTAGAGACATGTAAAGCTGCATACGGCACAGATGACCTCGACTTTTTGAACGTTTCTTAAAGGCACGCCAAAATAATGCTCATTCCAGCAAAAGCTCTTCACCGTAGAGCAGGTTCTTACTCGCCAGAACAACAGTGTCAGCTTCAAATCGATCCAAGACCCTAACAACAAGGGCTGGCTTGTAGAGGGAAACTCTGTGATAGTCTGGGGAACGATCACTTCCGATGAGAAAGTGCCACTAGTTTTTTCTTGCGTTAGAAAGTCATTGTGTAACAAAACTTAAGTAACGACATAATACGCATGGAAATGATTTAGGTGCAAACTTATAGCTAAATCTTAGTGAAGTATTCTGGGCTCTACTTTGTTGCAAAGAATGAATGAATTTTTTTGTTTGAAGAAGAAGATCTGAAACTTACCAGGACAAAGAAACTCTCCACAAATGTTTTCATGCTTGATGAAAGGGCGACGTTGTTGCTCTTGTTGCTGCAAGATCTAAATTTTCTAAAGCAAATTACCGTAAAGATTTTCTAGATAATTTAATAGAAAATGTTGATCAAGAGTTTGTTCTTAACATTTGCAAAGCTTCGCACGTCATACGCAGGGCCCGGCTCGATTGACTGGGGCGCGCTTTCCATCATAGAAAGCTAGGCTGCTGATGCGATTTTGGGCTCTAACAAAGACAAGAGGAGGAGTTTCGGAACCAAAATCTCATCATGTAAACTAAAATCATGTAAACTAATCTGTTGTACACCTAAAGTAAACTTTAGGTGTACAACAGATTTATGTAAAAATTTTGAAAAACTTAAGTGAATTGAAAGTTTTGCCTACCTCAGGTGGCATTAGGTGGGCAATTGCCCACCTTATTTGGGAAATAGTTGGGCACGCTCTTCATTCACATAAGTTTTTCAAAAATTTCCATACTTTCCTTGGTCCTACTGCGCATATACACACCAAATCCCGCGCAATTGCGTGACCTATTTACCTTTGCGTTGCAAACGAGCTATTTTTTCCATTTTTTTGGTAGCGGGAAGTTTCAGAAAAAATTTTGCCACAACCTTCAGTCACATAATTTTTCATTGAAAATTCTAAGTTAAGCCCTGCAGGCCCGTGTTCATGTACCTACCAAGTCTCGTACCGTATGGTCATCTATGCGCTGCTAACGAGCCATTTGAATTCACATTTTCATTTAACAGTTTTGCAAAATTTTTGGAAAAAGTGTTTATTACACCTCCCATTCACATAAGTTTTTCATAATATTTCAAATTTTGTTTCTGCTAGCCTCTCTTCGTTTGCTTACGTAATTTGGTGTTAAATCGTTACGCCTGCATCGAAAACTGATTATGGGGTGGAGGACTATATGTCGCCGAATTTGGAAAAGTTCCGCGCATTTCCTGCAGGAACGCATGTCCGCGGTACAATGGTGCTTATTTGTCGCAAATGACCGCGGGGACCGCCCTTCATCGGCGACATATAGTCCTTTACCCCTGACCATGTAATCATGCTGTTCAACGGCATCGCTTATGCGACGTCGCGCATGTGGCAATTAGCGGCGATGCGGTTTGGCGCGTGCGAACTCCAGTGTTCGCCTGTTAAGCCCTGGCCATATCGTCAAAAAATCACCGCGATGCGATTTGTGCAATCGGACAACTGCCATTCCCCTATTTCATGCCGGCAAATTATGCATATCGGTCGTGCTAGCTGTCCGGCGCGACGGCTGAACGTGTTTTCCTAAGCCACACCTATTCCAGCGATATCGCGTCGCAAGTTTGAAACCAGCGACGGGTTGATAACGCTGGGATTGGATTTCTTTCCCGAAAGTCTTTGAAATAGTTTTTTTCTCCTTCGACTTGTTTTTTTTTGCGAAGTTGCTAAAATGTGATGCATGATTTCCTAAATTGCTATTGCGATGCGCGTCCCTTGTAATTCGCGCCAATAGACGGTGGATAGTTTTGAATATTTGAAACTGGTATTTAGACAACATGCATAGTTTCTAAACATCTAAATATCGCGATAAATTAGCAACGTATAAAACCGCAGCTACAACTTGAGAAAATTGACTTTGCATCCTATATCTGATGGGAAAACTGGAACGATAGACAAATCGTCGAGATGCTGATATGAATTGCTGATGTTGAACCTATACAAGTGTCAAAAAAAGTCAAAGGAATGTGTAAATGTAAAGAAATAACGCTAAATACTGCTTTCGGAAAGAAAACTTAGAACGAGTGCTGAGGTGTGTATCTTCACCTTATCGCTGAACAGGTAGGTATGTCCAGAACCCGCGTTAGCGATTTGATAGTCACGATTTCGCCGCTCCGATCATGAAATTCTCCGGCGACGGAATCGCGACGATGAAATCGCTGCACGTATGGTCAGGGCTTTAAAGCACATAACATGTTAAAATAAGCAGAGAGCATGAACTACCAATTTTTTCCGTGGCTTGCCCTAGACCCCGCAAAAACGATATCCCCTTCGATTTTTTTAACCAAAAACGATTTCCAGCTTGTCATTTGCCCACCTCGTGCCGGGCCCTAATCATACCCCATACGTATTTTGTCCTCAGACCTGGCATATTTGACTTGCTTGGTTATACTCAATGCTCTAAGCGTATCGCAATCGCATCAATCTGTGTTAACTAGACGAGGAGTCTTTGACAGAGATAAGCAAGAGAGCAACCGTGCTGTTGGAAAAAAGCTCTTGCATGAGCTCTGCGAATTTTCACGGTCTTCTCTTTGAGCGCTGGCTGTAGACTTGCGGGAAACTTAGGCAGCGCACATAGTTAGCAGTTCGTTCTTGCTTTTTTTCAGTCCAAATACGATGTCATATTGTTTATAGTGCGCTTCCCTCAAGATCGTGTTTGGGCACGTCAGACGTGCAGCAGCTCGTTGAAGAACGTGGTTATGGGCATCTGCATGACTAATGTGTGGGCCAGGCTGCGCGGCGTACACGGCGTTCGCGACGTAGGCAGCGTACGCACACGTGCATAAAGATCTGGCCCAGTCTGGCCCAAGCCTTACGCATTTTCTCGGAGCTACTTTGAAAACTTTGTCCTCGACGTTTGTCAGTTCGTGACAGATCTTGTCTTGCTGTTCTTACTATCGCAAGCGCCTTCCCAAATGATGAAAGCAAACAAAAAAGCCCAATGTCTAATGAAAAGAGTGCTTCAAAAAGTGTTTCGATTTTTTTTTTCATAGCACTGTAGTTTTGAGGGCTTTTGTATTTCTCAGGCATTATCGTGTTTCTCAATAACATAGTTTTTCAAAAAAATTTCATGTTTGTTCCTCCTAGCTTTGCCCATCTACATACCAGTTTTGCAATTATAGTCTTATGTAAATCAAATCATTTAGTTACTACTTTGTGCAAAGAAACTTGGTTTTCAAAAATGACGTCATGAGCGCGATCTGTTTGAGCACATCAGTCGTTTAAAATCTGGGTCGGTGAGAGAGGCATAGGTAGTAATTTGGTCAAAATTCCAAGTTTAAAGCTCCGCGTTAACGCAGAGATAACTCTAAGTTCTCTTTTTGAAACTCAGAGCTATGCTTATTGAAACTCTGAGTTCCGCTTTCATAGTTCCGGGTTCCAACCAGGGTCAAGCAAGGGGTGTGGCACACGATCGCTGGTTACGACCCCCCCCCCTGATTGCTGTCTTAATAAGACCCCCCCTGGACTATACCCTTAAGATAGCATTACTTGGAGGCCCTGTCAAACATAATGGGCAACATATCCATAATGAGCATGTCAATTAACCCCTGTAGACAAAGTTTGAGCGAATTCTGAAGATTCAAGATACTAGGCTACCTAAGTGAAATGGTCAAATTCCAACATGGTTAACTTTGTTTCAAAGGTGAATTAGCTATCCGTTTTCGCACTCAAGACAAAGCACTACTCCTTCCTTGTTCCTCTCAGGAATCCCGCTTCAGAAGACCTTGTAACTTTGGAATTAGAAGCCAACCAAAATTCTGTTTTTCCTATTTTCCACTTTCAATGGCTGCGTTTCACCAAATATTACTCAGAGCTAAGAAAACGAATCAGGCTCAAATCACTCCTATGAAATCTACGAAGTCTAGGCTATCGATTTATATAAATAACGTTCGCTAAAAATGTTTTTTATATAGTTAATGTGGCACCACCCTTAAAAAACTGTGGCTGCCAAACAGATCAAGTAGCTGCGTTTTTATGTCGTTTCTGCTTAACCTTGTTCTTTACGTAGCAGAAATTTCATACGAAAACCTTTCTTCAAGAGCAAGATATAATTGTTTTTCCTAACCTATGCAAATGTAAAATATTGGTAAAATACTGCGAAAATATTGGGATACGGTAACATGCTAAGTCTGCGCCACTACGTGAATCGCAAGGGTAGGCGACAAGAATGTAAATATTCGATAGCCTAAGCCTCGTAATCTAAATTAGAGTGATTTGAGCCTGATTGGTCTTCTCCGAGATTTTGACTTGCTCTTAATTCCTTAAATTGGAGGTCACTTGTAGTAGGATTCCAAATGTGAGCAAAGAAATAGTAGTTCTTTGTATTAAAAAAGTGGTTAACTTACCTTTGAAACAAGGTAACATGTTTGAAAACAACCATCTCACTGAGGTGGTCCTGTTTTTCAAAACCTCAGAATTCGCTGAAACTTGGGCCACAGGGGTTACTTTACTTGCTAATTACAAAACGATGCTCTTATGCTTTATAGATCTTTAATTATGCTTACTTTACGTATACGACAATGGGTCAAACATCAATGTGCTAGTATTTTGCATGACGGGCCTATTTGGCATTGTTAGCGAATATCATGTTATACGAACAGCGGACGCCTTGATAACGATCCCCCCCCCCTCCCTGATTCCTCAATACAACCCCCCAGGTGTGGCATGCCACACCTCACGCTTGACCCTGGGTATGATCCCGAACGGGATCCTCAGAGAATCACGGCTCATTTTTGAAGTCACTCATCTTTGCAAAAACTCAACGAATACTTCGTAAAGTTATGCTGTTGATCTCTAATAATAATGCTGAGCATTTCTGCGGGAGTAATAAGTAAAAACTCAAGTTTACGAAGTCTTCGATGAACCCTTGCACGCGAGTTAGGATTTATCGAGAAACTCAAATTTTCACATTTCATCGCTACGGAAAACATGCCCAACACTGTCATAACAGATCAACAGCATAATTTCACGAAGTTTTTATTGAGTTTCTGCAAAGATAAATGGCTGTTAAAATGAGCCGTGATTTTTTGCGAATTCCGTTCGGGATTCTGCAAAATACCGAAAATCTTAGCTTATACAGCAAAGTGCTGTTATCCATTAATCTACAATATTAGGGTAGTAGGGTCACCAACAAATGGACGAACAAGGAAGAGTAGATCCCAGAGCATCGGGCTATAGAGCGGATACTGCCTGAATAGGAACCCTTACCCGGACGGGCGATTGATACATATCGCCCTTGTTCTAGCGCATGCCGATACCAGAGATCTCAACGTAGGAAATGGTTGGAGCCCGATGGTTCTGAATCTGCCGATCTGCTTTTGAGCTTTTATGTATCTTAACTGTGCAGAAGAGTTGTTTATGTGGCCGATTTTTGGAAGTTGTGCAGCCTATCGTTATGGTTTATGAGAAGAGGTAAACAATCTTACCTCTCTGCATTTGCCTTTCTAGCTAGCTCCGCCAGCTTTTTGCGTACACTCGTATTCCGCCCTATCGCCAATCGCCGTGCTGCGGTGCTCGAAACATCCTAAACACTTGTTTTCACTTCCTCGTGTTTGTAAGTTATTGTGACATCCTAATTACCAATGACGCAAAGACGCACAGTAAAAGAATGACTGACTCATTTTGCATTTAATAACCTGAAATTATAGTTTGTACACGGCGGTGTGGGAGGATTTTTGAATGGGACAGACAACGAGGAGGCACAAAGAATATGCTCAGCTTATGCGGTCGTCGATCAATCAGGCCTATATCAAAAAAACATTTTTAGCGGACAGTATTTATATGGATCGATAGCCTAGATCACCTAGTTTTCACAGGAGTGATTTGGGCCTGATTCGTCTTCTTAGCTCTGAGTAATATTTGGTGAAAGCACAGCGATCAAAAGCGAAAAATGAGAAAAACGAGATTTTGGTTGGCTTCTAATTCAATAGTTTGGAGGTCTTCTGAAGCGGGATTCCTAAGGTGGACAATGAAGGAGTAGTGCTTTGTAATGAGTGCAAGAAGAGGTAGCTTACTCACCGTTAAGATGAAGTTAATCATGTTTTAATTTACTGTTTTATACAATGTTGTTTACTGCTCGGAGACCTCAGAGTTCGCTGAAACTTGGCGCATAGGGGTTATTCGACACGCGGATTACGACAATTATGCTTGATTAGAGGTACGGCAGGTTACGGTAGGCATACGGTATCTGCAAGTTTGTGTCGTTGAACTTGAGTTTTGCAGGATTTCAACAGCGCTTTCATCAAGTCAATTTAGTCACACAGCTTGTACAAGTGCTTTTGACCTTGGGTCGATACGACCCCCCCCCCCCTACCCACCCCCCCCTAACGACCCCCCCCCCCTGCGGCGTGCCGCACCCCCCGCTTTACCCTGGTTCCAACTTTCAAGTTTGGAGATTTGTTGTTTGAGAGGCATTTACGCACTTTGCTGCAAAAGCATGTTAAAGTCGAGACTCAAACTTGTATGGTCTAACCCAAAGATCCTGTCACTGAATAGCTAGGCAAGGGAGACGGTCTTTTCGCACGGGCGGTCTCCAGAGTCTCCCTGATTTTGACGTGTCTTAACAAGTAGTGCACGCCGCAAACCTTTCCTCCCCCTGTTTTGCTAAGGCAAAAGCCGCCGCAGGGTGTGTCGCGCGCGGCAGTGGTCCTGTGTGGAAAGCTACGGTCGTGCGAATCGTCCTACTCCCGCTAGGCAATGACACACCGTTGAATCTCAAGGTTGCTTCGCCATAATGCACCCTTCATTAACACAAAGCATGTCAAAACAAGTTATACCAAAGCCTCACTCATTTTCATTTCTTTCGAGAATTGGTGGTTTATCGCACGTAGTGGTCTCTTGCGCAGCTGAAAGCTTCAAACAATACTGAGAGCGGATGGCACACGCAATGGTAAGAATGCACTATAAGGGTTTGCGCACAGATCAAACCCTCCATCAAAGTTCGCCCTTATTTCTATGATTGGCGCAGCTACCGTATACCTGCCGTAGTCGCTCTAGATGACATCAGTGTACGTAGCAGGTAGAGTGTTGGTGATCAGCGACCCGAACAGGATCGAGCAAGAGGTGTGGCACACAAGCGCCGGAACGACCCCCACCCCTTCCCCTCCCCCTTCCCCCACATAAAAGCTCTATCATGCATAATTAGGCACATATTCGTAACAAGTGCGTCACCTCTGCTTCGCAGAGGTTTGCACTGGCACTACTATCCATGCCTTCTTCGTGATCGCATAATAATGACTTTGAAACTCACCGCGCGATGCTGAACATCACGAATGAACTGTAAACAACCATTCATTTTTAGAGCTTTTCCATGTAAGATCGGTAATTTTTTGGGAGAAAAAATTTTCCCGCAGGGAAAGAAATGCGATTTTGAATGGGTTACTGAATTTTTGGCTTTATAGTCGCCCTAAGGATAAAGACCACTCTGGGCTACATATCTATTCAAAAATCCTCTAATTTTTTATAGTGAAAACTTGGCAAATCGACAATCTGCTCAGTTACACCTTTTGGCGCCAATTTCGTGTAAAAATAGACTTTTTGCTTACTTTTTGAGCTGAAATCAATGTTTTTTGGATTCACTTGCTAAACAAATCCGAGACTTTGCAAAAAGTCCAATTACCGACCCATTTTGGCAGGCCAAAAGTGTCGTGGATCCGTTTGACGCACAGTTTTCGATGGTTCCACTTACTGGATCGGCTTGTGGTTTTGCACAGTTTACCTACACGCTGACTGGGTGCTATGACCAAAATTCTAGATTAAGACGCTGGCTGCAACTCTGTGAATTTCGTGACAGACAGACATACACACACAGACAGACAGACGCTTAGCGCTTTATTATAAGTCATGATTATCATGTCAAACCCTCATGGGCGTTTTAGTAATTTCTGAGGGTTCCCAATATTGGACCACTCAAGTGAAATGGTTGTTTTCAAAGATGATTAACTATATTTCAAAAGTGATTAGCTAACTCTTTTTGTACTCGTTACAAAGCACTACTTCATGTTTACCCACACTACGAATTCTGCTTCAAATAAGCATGAAACTTTGAATTAGAAGCAGGCCAAAATCTCGTTTGTCTCATTTTTCGCTTTTAACGGCTGCGATTTCATCAGCCTTTACTCAGAGCGAAGAAGCGAAGAATCAGACTCAAAATACTCCTATAATAACTACAAGAATCAGTCTATCAAATGTATGAATTTTGTTCGCTAAAATTCTTTTAGGAGGTAAGTAAATGGGGTGTGGCACAACCCCTAAAAAGCTGTTGCTGTCACAGCTTTTTAGGGATTGTGCCACTACCCCAATGACTTACCTTCAAAGCATTCAAATCTCTACCTTTTTATATAGTTGCTACTGCTAAACCTTCTTCTCCACATAGCAGGAATTTCATTCAAAATTGTTTTTCCTGAGGGAAAGATATAGTCGTTTTCTTTAGCTAAGCAAATGGAAAACACTGCAATATTCGATTACGGTAACACGGTAAGTCTGCGCTATTGGAATCGCGAGGAAAGACTGCAAGAAGAAGCATATTCGCTAGCCTGATCCTCGTAACTTTCGCAAAAGTGATTTGAGCCTGATTGGTCTTTTCTCTTCCGAGAAATTGAGAGCGAAAAATGGGGCACACGAGATTTTGGCTTGATCTTGGTCCAGATTTTGAAGGTTTGTTGCAATGGGATTCCTAAGTGAGCAAAGAGTAGTAGTACTTTGTGCTGAGTGCAAAAGCAAATAGTTTGCTCACCTTTGAAATAAGATTTCGAAGATGACTACCTCACTTGAGTGTTCCAGTATTTGAAACCTCAAAATTCGCTGAAACTTGGCCCATAGGGGTCATATTTGATATGCTAATCACGAAAATGATGCTCTTAGGCTCCCGCCAGAGTGCCGAAGTTATGCCAGCGCTACGCCAGCATTTCGATCGATACACGTGTATTTCGTTGGGGCGGGGCCCAACGAAATACACGTGTATCGATCGAAATGCTGGCGTAGCGCTAGCATAACTTCGGCACTCTGGCGGGAGCCTTATGCTCTCAGGATTCTTTTAATATGCTTACTGTGCGTGTACGAAGGTAGGCCAAAACATCAGTGCTGGTATCTTGCACAATGGACCTATCAGACATCGTTGACTGACATCATGTCACTAATAACAGTATCGCCTCAATAACGCCTCCCCCCTCTCTTCCTAACTCCCCTACGATTCCTCAGGTGTGGCGTGCCCCATCCCACGCTTGACCCTGAACCCGAATAACCCTAGTGTACCAAATTTTAGCCAATTTTGAGATTTTCTCCTGTTTACGGTAAAACTACCGTAACCTTGCCAGACGTCACTGCAATAAATTGCATGCCAAATTTGTGATCAGCGTACCGAATAACCCCCTGGACCAAGATTTCACAAAATTTCAAAATTCTTACTCTTTTCCGACCTCGGAGGGGTGGAGGACCTGGATGGTCTAAGGGCGGGGATCGAACCTGGTCCGATCTAGTCATAGCGGCGCTTCATACCACTACGGCACTCGTCCCCTCTCGACTAAACTTATCTGAATTAATAAAAAGCTCTGGTTGTCCCAAAAGTAAACACCTTTTTTAAATAATTTAAGCTGTCTTTGTTTTCACTTAGGGTATCATTCGATGGAGCAGCGCAAGATCTACAAAATGATTAAGGATTTGCCTAAGCATTCCCTGTAAACTGAAGCCAAAGTTGAGGAAAAATGTGTCATGTAAAAATTGGATTTATGCCTCCCACATATGTCGTTGTATGCTACAACTTACCCTCTGCCCTTGAAAGTAGAAAAACCCTTCTGTTCTTCCTGCGCGACCTACCTCCATCTGCTCTTTTGCTTTGAGGGGCAAAAGTAGATTTTCATGAAGTAAAGGCGGCCAAAAGTGAATTTTCAGCAATTTTAGTGAATCTCACCCTTGTTTCTTCCAGCGAGACATGGCTCCCTCTGCCTTTCTGATTTTGAATGGGAAAGTAAGAAAATTCATGATTGCGACTTTTAAAAACATTCACAATAATCGTAATGGGCATGCTCAACCCCTTGTACCGTACCAACTTTCAGCGCCGTAGCGTAAATCTTGCAAAAAATCGATAAGGTCAATGAATGTAATCGATCACTTTATAAAATAACAACGCCTCGTGACCCATGCTCATTCATCCCTCATCCCCCCCCCCCCTTGTACCAACTCTGAGGAGCGCCGTAGCTTGAACTTCGCGAAAATCGATGAAATTGTTAGAAGTAATGGATATTATTGACAGTGGTTATCATATTCGTAATCAGAATGCTCGCTTACTCGCCTATACCAGCTCTCAGTACCGTAGCTCAACACGCTGACGACAATGCGCTTTTCAGTTGTCTGCCTTGCGAGACAATGCCTTTAACGAAAATGTTGGAGTTTCCCACTAAAATACGCATAACGCCATCTACGCCATATCTACAGTGATTCTAAGTAACAGCCGAGAAGCGGAGAAGTGGTTTCTTGGGGAAGAGCTTGATAGAGCTTCTGAAACAACTCTCTACCAAAATACTAGCCATTGTAACTGAATTCAAGTCATGACCCACCATGCGGGTCACATGTCCCACATGGCAACCACGTGACCCACCACATGGGTCACCTTGTCATCAATATGTTAAACTTTGCAAAAAT